ATTATAGATATTGCTGAGGGTGCTGAAGAAATGATATATTCTCATTCTTGGGATTATTATTTATAAATAAATAAATAAATATATATATATACATAATTTTTTTTTTTTAATTTTTTATTATAGGAAATTTTAATGTATATTAATATTTCATAAAAATATTGATCAACATTGCACCCAGCAGGCAAAAAAAATTGAGCCATGATTTACTATTAAATTAACACGTGATTCCCCCTACCCTTAAAATCAATTGATTCAATTTTGATCTTATAAATGAAGTTGAATCAAGTGTTCAAATAGCAGACAATCCATTTTTTATCCAAGTTCTGGGAATTTCTCAAGATCCTCAAATACACAATTACATGATAGTAACAGAGTTTGCATCTGGTGGTAGCCTTTACAATTATTTAAACATCAACACTAATAATATGACATGGGAAGACAAGATTCAGTTGTTATGGTATATCAGCAATGGACTTTACTATTTGCATGATAAAAATTTGATTCATTGAGATCTTTATCCTGGAAATCTTTTATTTACTGATAGAGGATTTTTAAATATTGCAAATCTTAGTTTGTGCAAATCAGCAAATCAAATTTCACAATCCAATGAAGATCAAATTTCATGATCTAATATAGTTTATGGATCTTTGCCTTACATGGCCCCTGAATTTTTAGAGAAGAAAAATTATACCATGGAATTTGATATATATTCTTTTGGTATTGTAACATATGAATTGATAACAGGAATTCCACCATATCATGAGATTTCAAGTGACAATGATTTTGTGTTAAGTATTTGTCAAGGTTTACATCCAGTAATTCCTTCTAATGTACCACCACTATTAACCAAATTGATGATGGAGTGTTGGGATGCTCAGCCAGACAAAAGGCCAACTTCTAAAAAATTATTTACCATAATAAATAAATGGTTGATAAGTGGTGCACATGTGGCATTTGATGAATTTAACACATCAACAACAACACCACAATCTAATGCTGAAGATCTTATTACCTATGATCTTCCATCACCAATAAATGTACTGGATTTTGAGTCACTATTCTGATTAACAAAACTTCTTTTTAACTTATGGTACATTTCATTTATAATCACCAATAGTCTGGAATTTAAAATGTCAATCTTATGTGACTTCTGAAATTTTTTATTTTTATTCATATTTAAAAATTAAAAAATAATAAAAATAATATATTTTAATATTGCTTAACTCTTGAATAACATAACAAGGAATTCTCCTATAAGATTTATACATATTCTACTAGTTTTTTGGTAATTCCATACCTACATTTAAACTTGTACCCTGTAATCAAATATCAAATGTTGCAATGTTGCAACAATCAGCCTCTTTCATTGCAACAAAACTGTAATGCTACAACATACCTGTGACTTTACACAGACCAAATGTTGCATGTTGCAATCTTCACAAAAAAATGCTTGTGGTCCACAATTATTACAGAAAAATTTTGCATTTTTATTACAATTTATACATTTTTCTTCAGAATATGAATGTTGTTTTAAAATTCCATTATAAATAGTGTCTTTGATATTTTCCCACTTTTTGTTAAGCGCAATCTGATCTTTATAGTAGTGTGAGTGTGCAATCCAAGTTCCTAATTAATAGGTTATTTATAGCTCAACACACAGCCTACCCACTGACTTATGGTCAAAGATTAATAATAAAAATAACTTTTATCTTCCTGGATAAAAGGGTCTCTAGGTTCTATATATGTAATTATATCTCAAAGGCGTCCCCTTGAGATGTATCTGAATAATTAAAAGGGTTCCCAACTAATAATTAAAGGTTAACCAGACCATTAACCATTAGAATAGCTGGGGGGTCAATCACACTGGGTTTATTAGTTACTTACAGTCAAAGACTATTTTATGTAAGGTTATATATTTATTAA